ATAACTTATTTTGTTAATAAAAAACCTAGCACCGGATTTAAGAAATAAAATGTATGTGTGACATTGCTGTGTATTTTTCGTGAGAAAATTTAAAAATCAAATTACGTATTTTCGCCTTTGAAGAGTTGGCGTTGCTTCGCATCCGTTTGCGTTTCGGGATTCCTGTCCCGACGATGAACGGATGCGCAGGAGACTACTTCTGTAGGCACAAGCAACAAAAATCAAACTTGAATTTTTCAAATTATTGCTTTCTTATTATATGTTGAAAATGTACTCAAAACTATGCAGTTTTGTGTTAATTCAATATTTGAAAAATTTATATCAGTCAGTGAACGTAACTGTGATATTATATGTACATGTACTTTCCTTTCTAGAGGTGACTTTGCTATTAATAGTATTTAATGGTCAGACGATGATGTTAATGAGGTCGATCGACGACAAAATATTAATTAACTCCATTGTATTATATTTCATGAAGTAAATAAATAAATTACATGCATATATACATGCATGCATGGATGCATGAGTGAGCCTGGACAATAATCCAAGCAAATGTCACCCGATGTATGGCAATAAGTTCCATATGTCGAAACTTAATATTTATTCTTGTCGTATCATAAGCTTGTTGTTCAATAAATCTATTCACTAAAGTACAGTGTTATGCATTCATTAGTGCTAATTAGCAGTAAGAGCGTTAAACCCGTGAAAAAGACAAAAACTGTTTTAGAATCAGTCAAACTGCGAGACTACGTCACATACAGAAGTTTCCTTCGTTTAGATAAAAAAGAAAAGACGAAGACTGGAGAGTATTTATTACATCATGAAACACCTTGCAAGAAATTGCACAAAACTGCAGTATTCGAGCAAATGGTTTTGTACTAACCTGTCTAATTTCACGGAAGAGAGTGAATATAATCTACCGTYTCAACGACAAAGGGAACCCAACTGAGAACACACACACAGATTATACATTGCTTACAATACAAAAGATCCAGTTCATACCCGTCTTTGTTGTAAGTCTTGATAATACTKGAGATGTAGTCATGATGGCTGTGAAGTTGCTGGTCAGCTGGAGAACAATAGGAAACCGTTTTGGAGTATTTTCATTGGACTTTAAAATACTCACATTGAATCCATTGTTTTCTTTGATTGCATGGGACTATAGCATGTGGGATAAACTTGGAAATTATATACGAGCATGCGCCATAGTACCTTGCTTGGTCTTTCTATTGATAATGTATATTGTGGCGTCCATTGAACCGACCCAAATGTGGTTTTTATCAACTGATTCAAGACAACTCTATCAAGAAAGAGACATATTAATATATTAAATAACACTTATGGCCTCCTTTGCAAGCAACCCTTTGGGCTTCCTGTATGGCAGAATAACTATTGTCAGGGTGTCCTAAACCTCTTTGAATGACAAATAAAGATATRAATAACATTTGTACTTACCACACGATCACGAGCATATCGCAACACCGTGACAATATTCCACGTTATTGTATCTATGACAACAACAGCACCAGACCCCTTAAAATAAAGAATGATGCGCAAACTTGAAAATTTTGAAAGAAATAGAAATACCTGATATATTGTAATTAACTCACCAATCCACACCACACCTCTGCTTCGTTGCCATTTTCCTTGCCTGTGTACGAACAGAATGAATGATTTTACATAGTAAACACTAAGCCTTCAACCCCAAAGCATAAATTCACACATACAGTATTATATACTAAAAATTGCACGCTACGTCACTTGTAAGCGGTGCCTGAAATTAACTACACATGGTGTAAGGGCCCGTTAATTTCTCCCTCTCGTAAAGTCCATGCGGTGCTTCAGCTATGTCCAGAGGCATGATCCAGGAGTGTTTGCTATTAAACCATCAGTATGCGACATTTTGACTACTGTAGAATTGGAAGGMATGCCGACAATGTGCCGACCATGGTCCGATCAAATTCCGAAGTAAGCAATGCAGATGACCTACTTTCTGGCGCGAAAACCATTGCTTCTATAGTCGTCTTTTGTGTTTCGTCAGCTTGTGGTGTTGGATCAATTCGTCTTTCCAACATCTAGAACAATCAATTAAGTCATCATCAGAACAGGTTTTTTGTAATCACTTTTGAGTTTCCTGTTCCATAAAGGTCTAGTCTCTCTCGGTAAGGGRTGACACAGGGATTTCATACAGAACAGAGATAAACAACAAAAAACGTGGTTAACATGAAAGTACATGATAASACAGACCTTTTTGGTCTCTTTAGAGAGCTTCTTTTGTTCAATTACAGCCTCTGGAATATCTTTTAAATAYAAGATTTTCTGAAATGAAATATGGAGAGAAATTAAAAACGGAATCTTACTGACGAGTAACCAGAGTTATATGACACTTACTCCTGTCGCGCCAAGGTTATCACTGGAAAACAAAAATAACGAGAAATGTTATCTGATTAATCAGCGGATACACAATGTCCGCAGACCACTAATAATGCAGGCTACTATATAAACATACCTTCCACGTAGGGCGTCGGCTATTATAACATTCTGAGAAGCTTGCTTGATTATTTGATGGTCTTTGGTTTCTGTGAAACAGATAATGAACAAGCCATGATATGGATTAATAACCGCAAATACCGCTTAAGATCAATTAGCACAAATCTCGATATATTGATGAAAATGAAGGATAAGAAGTAAGGGACGGTCCATTTAACTTGCACCTGAAAAAAACCTTGCACCACCCTAAGCCCCCAAAAAATGTTACATACAAGAAAAAAAAAATTCCTACACACCACCAAGAGAAAAAATATATATCCTACCCAAAAGCCACGAAGAAAAAAAAACCACCCCCCCTCAAAAGTAAAATGGACTGTCCCTAAATGGAATCAAGTCTCAACGTCAACTTTTACGAAGAGATAAACACATCGTTACAACACCTACAACTACAATTAAATATTGCAATTTGAAGTAGTTCCTATACCTTGTCCTATCTTATACCCTGCCATCATTTCTCGTATACAGTCATTCCAGAATGTTCTGTCCTCCTTTAAGCATACGATGAAAGGGGTAGTCTTTTTACCTATACAAAAGAAAGGCGGAAAATGGAAATAATTGATTTGCAATGAAAAATGAGTGCATATTCAATACGATCGTGAAAAATAGTTTGACTTGCTATACTCTTACAGGCGACATAATTAATCCTTATTTGAGCCGATATATTTAATAAATAATTAATAATAATAATTACATCGACTGGTGATCTTTAACGATGCCACGCCTGGTGGTATAACAACATAATGTTGATAGTTCTCAACGTCTCGTATGTCATCAAATCGCATCACCGGCTCACATTTATGGGTTCCCTCGTTCATGAATATTAATCTGTTGAAGACAGCAAAGCAGCTTTTATTTCACGACTGATACAGGATGTTCGCTACACAAGATATGTACCTGCTTGTCGTTGCAATAAGTCTGCCATTGCCTGTGGCTGTTCGTAACCATGACGACGCTAATACAACGGTCTGAATACACAAATTGTTTATTTTGTCATTTAAACAACGTAAACAACAATATAACCACCTTCTTTAATAATTTACCTCTCCTACTTCGGCAGTAATTCCTGGCAATTTGATCGATTGTGCTGTGCGGTCCGTCTGAAAACGTTCAAAATCACAATACAAAGAAAATCACAGATCACAACATAGAGTAGCCTCCTTTGCAGGCTAGTGGAGAGGGAATTTATGACCGATACTAATAACGTCTGCAAAGGAGGCTAAACATAGAGAGAAAGAAAGCTTGATGCCATAGAAACCCGGAAATACACGGGGACCTAGAACGATAAAACATACCTCTTGTAAAGATCGATAGAAGTTGCTGAAGACAGCGGGATCAACAACTAAAAACAGCATAAAAAACGTAAATATCTGTGTACGGAGACATGTGACATGTGGGAGCTTGCGCAAACAGGTCCAGCACTTACGTTTGTTCATCTTGTTCATGAGCACCTCAAACAGCTTTTCTGCCGTCTGATAGCWGTCTGTGATTTGTAACATTGTAGCTCTCTTGATAAAGTCAGTTTGATCTAAAAAAAAACAGACCTCGAGTTAACGACYGATCATATAAGTTATAGTACAACCGGTCGCAATTGAGCCATAACAAATAGACAGACTAACAGAAGTGAAATCGATAGCGGGTGTAGAGACGTACASACCGGCATAAAACCAGCAAACAGACATCGGCGATCAAATTTACGGACAGACARAGGAATCTTACCCAAGGGACTGGAAGGTACTGCCGAGGTTGTGACTCTGAGCCTGGAAATAAAAAATAAACAATTAAAGTACACGATATAAAATACTATGATACGCATGAATGAAACATACCTGTTTCGGTTTAAGTAGTCAGTCTCCTGTGAGGAATAAAATACAAGAATTAAGTAACCAATTATGTTACTAATTTCATTCAGTGTTTCCTTACAGAAACAGAAATAATGAAAGCTGCTACGAATAGATACTCCAATTATTGTATAAGTACGTTAATTTTAGCAGTGCAAAGTAGTATTCACTTATAGGGTACAAGATTTCGAAACTAAAGAGATCTGTACATGAATCATTACATTATTTCCATGCTTTAGTTCTAGAACAACAGCACACTGAGCTTTAAAAATCACCTCTTCAAATTGAACGAGTTCGACTACGTTTGAATCAGAAAATATCCTTGATCTTGCCAGCTTTTCGAGAGAGATTCTTCTCAGTTTTTCCATTTTCACGCAATTTTTAAATAAGTACTTTCTGTGTTGTATATCGTTTRTCTCTAAGTCGATAGTGTAAGTGAGGGGGACTCCCCTTAATTGMATGACGTAATAAGATTGAAGCTACACTTCCGTGTGTTTGTATCACCAAAAGCGAATTTAAATTAAAATTATTCGCTTTTGGTGTCCTTTTGGTGATACAAACACACGGAAGTGTAGCTTCAATCTTATTACGTCATTCAATTAAGGGGAGTCCCCCTCACTTACACTATCGACTTAGAGATAAACGATATACAACACAGAAAGTACTTACTTTGAAATTATCATACCTTTTTCATATTCTTAATTATGCTTGCTTTTCCATAGAAACTTTTTGTGTGAAGTTCTGCTTGTTCCGMTGAATTCAGTTGAGTCAAAAGCTGACTAATGTAACTGGAAGAAAAGTGAACGGAAACGAATGTGATGGCGATATTATATATAAAGATGCGATTATGATAATGACAGTGACCTGATGATGATGATTCATCTAACGATGCTGGTAGCAACTGCGTGTCAATCGATGCGTAAGATGTTTTAATCTCCATATATACGAATTTTGATGCTGAAATGACTTGAAGCAGGTTTATCACAAAGGAAACACGGACACGGAAGGTACGCATGCAAGCGCAGAAAAAAATTAGATGGMAAAGGACGTAAAAAAGGAAAGCAATGAAAACCTTTCGTTACTTTCTTTAATGCTTTTGTCTCTTTGTCCATCTCTGCTTTCTAGCAGGAASTGGCACAACATAACGATGGGTATAAATGATGGTTATTAATAATGATAGAAATATGATAACTATAATTGATTAACGATGATGGTGTAAATATTGTCATACTTTTACCTATCTGAATAACGGTAGAGC